CCGATGCCTGGACAATGTTTAAAAATAAAGAATACCTAAATAGATCTGACGGCTGATTCTTTCTGATTTGAGCCTATCATCCCGGTCGATACGAATATCATCCAAGACGATGTGCCTAATGACGGTTGCCTTAACCAAGATACCCTAATTAGGGTTTTTATTTTTTAGTCTGATTGTCCAAGATGATATGGGAATCGGCCTGGCCGATGTACTCAAAATAGAGAACTCTAAGTTAGATAGAAAAATCCCCCCAAGTGTATGTGTGAAAGGTTACTTAGCATTAGGAATCACACCGTTTATAATAGACTCAAGAAAGGAAAAATTACAAACAAATTCAGACCTAATCTACCCAATCTTGATCTGGCTCAAATTACAGCCTTGATCCAGTGGACCTAAAATGTTAGTATGCAAGGTAGTCGTAGAAAAATAAAGGTGTTTGCAATCATCAAAATTATATTTCTAAAAATAGATATGCAACAACATATTTTAATAATTTATTTAGTTATGAATGCTGATGTAAGTAGTATATTACAGATAAATGTGTTATGTAGATAACCAACCACTATTGGGGTGCATAGCAATACGCACAAGAGTCAGTAGGATCAGAAGTGGATGGACGAGCGAGCGAGGAGGACCTATATAAGTATATAAGTTTATAATTTTAAGAGATAATTTTTAAGTGTCAATTATAAATTGATTAATCTTATATTATCCTTTGTAGGATGAGTATACATGGCTTTAAGAGAGCCAGCTTGGAGCAGGTGAGGGATCATTTAGGGAATCTATAGATTATTTTGATTACTAAATTTTGTTGCATGTGGTAGGAATAATGCAAATTGGATGAGTTTATGGATTAGACTCACAAGCCTATGTGTATGAGAGGAGGGACAATCATCTAATGGCTCCAACTTCTCAGGAAGTAGCTAAGGAGTTTGTATAACTAACAGGTGGCTGCCTTACAAAAGAGCTAGAGCATGTTTGAAAATCAAAAATTGATATGCATATACATATATAGATGCATCAAGGTTAGATATTTGAGGAGCTAAAGAGAATGAAGGAGCAATTCAGTATAAAGCAACCAGCATCATTAGAAGTAGAGAATGATGAAATAGATTTTAACTAGCTATAGGTGTTTGTAAAAAATTTATTAGTTTTTATTGTATAAGAACAAAATGTTTATAGTAGAAGTATATGGTATTTGTAGAACATTTTCTTTTGATTAAATGTGTAATTACTTTAGCATTAATATTTCTATATAATATTGGTATGTTAGGCTACTTTAACTATTTTAACTATCTGTGATTGTTGAAATATTATGTTGTACAATAATTAAAGTAAGTGGTGATTTTTTTTGCTGTGTTATAGGTTTTTGATCAATTTTCAGCAAAAAAAATGCAAGAAATCATGATACAGCGAGTTATAAAGACATTTTGGGGGCCGAACAATGCATGGTGGAATTTTTGGTGGAACTGTCCGCTGACAATTCTGGTGGTTTAAACGATGGACACTTCCACCACTATTACTAGCATAATTATTCTCAGATTAACCACTAAAACTTCATGTAGACAGTTCTGCTAGAAACTGGTAGAAAACAACGCTGATAATTTGACTCAAAGTATGTCATTTTTGTTCACAGTTCCACAAAAAAATCTACCAAAATTGTTCTGATGGAAATTTCTCACAATAAACAAATTTTTTACGCATGTTTTACTATTGAAATTAAATTTGCCTGAAATCTGCAGAAATGCTAATTTTCCATTAGATTTAACATATTTTCCAATGGATATGGTTGCTAAAAATCAATGTTTTGCATGTAGTGTAGAGATTATGAAAGTAGGTGTCCACATGCTGGTAGTTATACTCAACTGTAGGGTTAAATCTTGCCAATATTCTAGAGATGTTGGTGATTTCTGATGCTAATCTTCGGTGGCAATCATAGTTATCGGCGATAATAGCTGGAGGTGGTCGTTGGTGGCGATGACTGAAAAATGCAAGAGAGTTTTTTTTAGTTCTTTGTATTATTACTCCTTTTGCATGTGAAGAATGATGTTCTATTTATAGGCTTTTTTATGAACATTTTTATAATTTGAACTAGAATCCAAAACGTTTCATCTTATAGTCCATATCGATTCCCTTGATAATAAAGTATTCTTTAAAACATTTAAGTGCCTTGATAATGTCGGATTTGAGTGATCTTGGGCTCGTTGAATTCGCATTGTTGAGCTGTTCGATTTGGCTATAAGCATGTCAAATTAGAGATTATGTGATCATCTTATTAATATTTGAAGTTTTCAATTATGCTTTTAAGTACTTGATTTGGGCTACTTAGGCTCAGATTGGACCGGTTCTTGTATTGTTGGGTTCGTCTCATTATGGCTATCAAATCCTTTCCCGGCCCTTAGGCATTTGAGCTATATGCTCCAGCCAAAGCTTGTTCCAGCATCGGTGGTCGATAAGGCCACTTTCACTTTCGACGACACTAAGCACATAAAGAATGATTCTCCAATGAGGGGCAACTCTATGTGATTCGATATGAGACGGAACAGAAAAGAGTTGTGGTTGATGTCCCAGTGAGAGACTTCCCAACCAGCCGCAGCCACAAGAACCCCTTGACAATCATGAATCACCAGCCCAATTGCCCCCGACGTGCAATCTTTGCGAAATAGCACTAGAATTTTCGTTTTTTCTCTACACCCATTTGTATGCATTTCGATCAATCCAAAAGAATTGCAAGCCCAACTGCTTGAATTCCTGATTTTTTCTATATCTTATAAATTTGTTGAAATTATAGTTCATATGATCTTAAATTTAACCCACCAATTTTTAATTTAAATTTTTATATGGTGATTTGTGTTGATCATACTAATTTGTTGTAGACATATCAATACTAAATAAACATATTTAAAAAATATTTTAAAAAAAAAAATCCTAAACAGGATGTTGAATTTTTTGAGATAATGGGGGTTTGACCTACATGGAGGTTTGGAAATGGAAAAAAGGTCTACTCCAACGTTTATTAAACTTCTTTAATTCCATGATTCTTACTCGAACTAAACTAATATTCCTCTTAGAATTTGGCCACCTATTACAGCTTCCATCGCGTCATAGGATTTTAGATCACCATTTTAAATTCCCCATTAAACGGTTTACTAGCAACGGTCGTCCCATAAATATCGTATTAGGTAAATTTAATCAATATTTATTCCTCAACTTATATTACTATGCAGTTGTTTTTGCAGCATTTGTTCATCAACCCTCGCTTACCCTCATCTACCTCCACTATTGATATCCAAAGCCACATAACTCTCTCCTTCACTGCTTCACCATGACAGCCGAACGTTAGGATTAAAAAGTTGCGACTATCACATCTTCATGCTATGTTTACTTCCCACTGCCTTTAATGTTTTGCTAGATCTAGTTTTAAAGCCCTTGATACAGCTAAAAATCTTCTTTAAGGGTTTATGTTGCTCAAAATTAAATGCAGAGAACTTGATCCATATGGAGCACAATATTCTTTTATTTTATGTAAGCTTAAGAAGATATTTTCTGCAGTAATTTTTGACTCTATGGAACATCTACCCCTACATTTACCATATGAGGCTAAAGTTGGTGGACTGGTTCGATATTTGTGGACCGTTTTAGAGCTAGCCTACATAGCCTTCATGCATATATAACATATTTTAATAATTTATTTAGTTATGAGTGCTGATGTAAGTATATTACAGAGAAATCTGCTATGTAGATAACCAACCACTGTTGGGGTGCATAGCAATACCCACAAGAGTCAGTATGATCAGAAGTGGATGGACGAGCGAGCGAGGAGGGCCTATGTAGGTATATAAGTTCAAAATTTTAAGAGAAAAATTTTAATTTTCAATTATAAATTGATTAATCTTATATTATCCTTTGTAGGATGAGTATATATGGCTTTAAGAGAGCCAGCTTGGAGCAGGTGAGGAATCGTTTAGGGGATCTATAGATTATTTTGATTACTAAAATTGGTTGCATGTGGTAGGTGGAATGCAAATGAGATGAGTTTATGAATTAGACTTACAAGCCTATATGTATGAGAGGTGGGACAATCATCTAATGGCTCCAACTTCTCAGGAAGTAGCTAGGAGAGTTTGTATAACTAATAGGTGGCTGCCTTACAAAAGAGCTAGAGCATGTTTGAAAATCAAAAACTGATATGCAGATACATAAATAGATGCATCAAAGTTAGATATTTGAGGAGCTAAAGAGAATGATGGAGCAATTCAGTATAAAGTAACCAACATCGTAAGAAGTAGAGAATGATGAAATAGATTTTGACTAGACTATAGGTGTTTGTAAAAATTTTATTAGTTTTTATTGTGTAAGAACAAAATGTTTATAATAGAAGTATAAATTTGTTGAGTTCGTCTCATTAAGGCATTCAAATCGACTATAAATTTGTTGAAATTAAAATTCATATGATCTTAAATTTAACCCACCAATTTTTAATTTAAATTTTTATATGATGATTTGTGTTGATCATACTAATTTGTTGTAGACATATCAATACTAAATAAACATATTTAAAAAATTATTAAAAAAAATAAAAAATCCTAAACAGGATGTTGAATTTTTTGAGATAATAGGTTTGACCGACATGGAGGTTTGGAAATGGAAAAAAGGTTTACTCCAACGTTTATTAAACTTTTTTAATTCCATGATTCTTACTCGAACTAAACTAATATTCCTCTTAGAATTTGGCCACCTATTACAGCTTCCATCGCGTCATAGGATTTTAGATCACCATTTTCAATTCCCCATTAAACGGTTTACTAGCAACGGTCGTCCCAAAAATATCGTATTAGGTAAATTTAATCAATATTTATTCCTCAACTTATATTACTATGCAGTTGTTTTTGCAGCATTTGTTCATCAACCCTCGCTTACCCTCATCTACCTCCACTATTGATATCCAAAGCCACATAACTCTCTCCTTCACTGCTTCACCATGACAGCCGAACTCCTCTCCTTCTCCTTTCTCCTCCTCCTCCTCGTCACACCTCTGCTCTCCACCAGCTCCACCATGTCTGGTTTCACCATCCAACTCATCCACAAGGACTCTCTACTTCATCCGGCCACCACCAACCTCTCCACTCCTCACCTCACCCGCCTCCTAGCAAAAGCCTCCCACTCCCTCTCGCGCAGCCAAGCTCTCTCTTCTCCTTCCACGACCATCCTCTCCCCAGTCATCCCTCACAACGCCGACCACCTAATGAAATTCTCCATCGGGACTCCCCCTGTCCGAGTCCTCGCCGTCATGGACACCGGAAGCGACCTCACGTGGCTTCGCTGCCTTCCCTGCTCCGACTGCTACACCCGCTCAGTCCATCTCTTCAACCCCTTCCTTTCCTCCACTTACCGATCTCTCCCTCCAAACTCCCCAAAATGCAAACAATTCGACCCCAACACAAGCCCTTACACCCCAACCTGTTCTTACAAATACAACTACGGAGACGGCTCCTTCTCTTCCGGATTCCTCTCCACCGAGACATTCACGTTCGAATCCACTACAGGTGAACCAATCTCCATTCCAGAAATAAGCTTTGGCTGCGGCCATAACAACAGCCCGAGCTTCGACGCCGAGCTTTTCGGTCTAGTGGGTCTCGGCGGAATGAGCTACTCCCTTATCTCTCAACTCAGTCCCCAAACAGGCAAGAGATTCTCCTACTGCTTATCACCATTTCAAGACAATACGTCGACCAGTTTCCTGAGCTTTGGCGACAAGGCGATAGTGACCGGAAACAATGTCGTCTCCACCCCGCTTGTGGCAAAGGCGGACAAAACCTTCTACTTTGTGACGCTGGAGGCGATAAGCGTTGCAGGGAGAAAGGTGGATGCGACGGCGACGGGGGAAGGAAATATGTTCATTGATTCGGGAACGACGGTTTCGCTTATTGATAGTGAAGTTTTTGAGAGATTGGGAGATTTGATAACGGAAGTGGTGAGGTTGGATTGGAAGATGGATGAAGGGAATACGTTCAAATGCTACGAGGCGAGGAGGAGGGAGGTGTTTCCTGATATCGTCTTTCACTTCGCCGGCGGAGCTGATGTGGTGTTGGAGCCATTGAATGCGTTTACGGAGCCGTCGGAGGACGGGTTGGTGTGTTTGGCGATGCAGGCGACGAACGGGACGGCGATTTTTGGTAACATGGCGCAGCAGAATTTTCATATTGGGTATGATATTGTGGGGAGGAATGTTGCTTTTGGCGCTACTAAATGCGCTGAACTGGGAAAGCAATTATAAAATTATTATTATTAATTGAATAATAGAAGCGTGTATAGAGGCTTTGAGAGAACTCAAAATGCTCAATACTACATAATAAAGATTGCAATTGGAAGACTAATAAAATATAAATGTGAGTTTATTCTTTGAAAAATTATAACATATCACAATAAAAAAAGAGGTGAGCATGAAAATATAAAAAAATATTGGATTCAAATTTAAAATATAAAATAATTAATGCTCCAATTGGCGAGTAGAACACAATGGAATGATTTTTGTTGATTTTCATGAAAGTTGATATTTTAGGTTATAATTTAATTAATAAAAATGTGTATTTTTTTTTTCTTATAAAAGTTGGGTATTACAATTCTTCCATCATTATTAGAAATTCGTCTTCAAATTTTGTTTTTTTTTTTCATGCTTTTTCAAATAATTGAGGGAAACTCTATTGCATATCTGCCTATTTTTCTGATGTAGCCTTTTTAATTGATATGTGATTTCATTTCACTTTTATGTAAAGAATTGTTCAACTTTCAATTCATGAATATCAAACTATAATATATTTTCAGGCTCTTCCATATATGTCAAGTTACTATCCAATCTTGTGGAACTCTCTGATTTTCGTCTATAACCTATTCTTTTAGCTTGAAACATAAAAAAATATTATGTACATCAAACATGTATATAGGTAATGCTAGTCTTTAAGCAACCTTTCCCACTTTTTCAATAATCTCAAATGGGCCAATATATTTGGGATTCAGCTTTCCACCAAGGCCAAATCTAGAAATACCCTTCATTATTCTAACATTTAAGAAAACAAATTCTCTCACATCAAATTCTACCATTTTATCATTGGAGTGATAGTACTCTTGCTATTGATCCTAAGCCATTTTTAATTTGTCTCTAATTAATTTGACTTTTTTAGTGGTTTAATCAACTAATCGTTGACCCAGCAACTATATTTCTCCAATTTCAACCTAACTCAACGAAGTTCTTCATTTTGTTTACCATACAACGTCTCATATGGTGTCATCTTGATACTAGACTAATAGTTATTATTATAAGCAAACTCTATCAAAAAGATATAATCCTCTCAGCTACCTCCAAAGTCTAAAACATATAATCTCAATAGATCTTCTAGTACTTCAATGGCTCTTTTAGATTGGCTATCAGTCTATGAATAAAATACAATACTGAAATGTAATTTTGTCCAAACTTTCATGAATGCCCTTCCATAGCCTAGATTTAAAATGACTGCTTTGTTTGATATAATAACTTTAGGAATTTCATATAATATGATGAATTCCATCAAAAAGAACTTAGCTAATTTCTCCATAGAATCTGTCTGGCAGATTGCCATAAAGTGTGTTGATTTTGTTTTTTTTTTAATCATAGTGCAAGGGCAGTCGTGTCGTTATCTTGATATCAAAAATCTTGCTAAAAAATCTATTGTTATATCTTACCTCTTCCACTCTAGATTGGCAATGATTACAATATATCACTAGGTTTATGGTATTCAGCTTTAACAACCTTACATTTCTCATATATTTTCACATACTCTGCTACATCCCTCTTCATTCAAAGAAACCAAAATAATGACTTCAAATCCTTATACATATTTGTCCTTCCTAGAATAATTGAATAACTTTAGTTATGAGCCTCATATAAAATTTCCTAAACTAGATTTGATTGTTTTGGTATCCACAAGTGTATATTGCTTTTAATTCCTCCTTGCTCATTTAAGCTAAGATATTTTATTTCCATATTTGCTATTGATTAATAAGCTTATGATATTTAGAGTCAATCTTTTGGACATTTTTATTAAATTTTAAACTCTTATGATCAATGAATATTTTGCATCTCACGCCATATAAGTAATGTCTCTAGATCTTAAAAGTAAAAATAAGTATAGCCAACTCTAAGTCATGTGTTGGATAATTTTTTTCATAAGGTTTCAATTATCTAGAAGCATATGCAATCATCATTTTATTTTATATTAAAATGTAATCCAAACCTTTTAAAAAAGCACCACTATATATAATTGAAATCCATCAGTTCCAGAAGGAATAAACAATACTGGTGCATATGTTAAATACTTTAGTTCTAGAAAAATTTCCTCACATTAATCAATCCATTTCAATTTAACATCATTTCATGTTAAGCTGGAGAGAGGCAAAGCAATTTGAGAAAAGTCTTTCATAAATCTTCTCTATTAACCTATTAATCCAAGAAAGCTCCTAATTTTAGTTACATTAGTTGGTCTTGGCCATTCAATAACATAATTTTCATTTTGGGTATGATATTGTTAGGAGGAATGTGGCTTTTGCGGCCACTAAGTGCGTTGAACTAGGAAAACAATAATAAATTTTATTAAGGGGATTTACATACATATAATTTTATTTTATATTATTTACATACTTAGCATCTAAAATATTAATATTACATGTCTATCATTCATATAAAACTTTAATATTAAATATATCACTCCTCCTACCACTCATACCACCCTATAAACTTTAATATTTCATTCCATGCACCCATATTTGTTCTATGGGTGGTAGACATGGAATATTAATGTTTTGGATGTTAGATATATAAATAGCATGAAATAAAGTGGTATGTATGTAAATCCCCCAATTTTATTATTATTATTTGAATAATAGAAGTATGTATAAAGGCTTTGAGAGAATTCAAATATTACATGATAAAGTTTGCAATTGGAAGACTAATAAAATATAAATGTGAGTTTATTCTTTGAAAAATTATAAAACATCACAACCAAAAATAAAAGAGGTGAGCATGAAAAAATAATTAAAATATAAAAAAAAATATTGGATCCAAATTTATCTATAAATTACGAAGGACCTTACATAGCTCAAACTTATAAGAAGAACGATAGATAACTAGCTATATAATGGAAATGATTACATTTTTGTTGTTGTATGTGGATGAAATATTTACTATAGGGCTGAACAATAATCTAATTTTTTTAAGAAACTTAGAGAAAACATGCATTACGATGTGAAAGAAAAAAAGAGAAAATATTGCATAGTGAAGTTACTTTATTAGTTAATATATAGAGGATAGAAAATAACATTGAAGAAAAATACAAAGATTTTCGACTTTTGTTCATAGACTTACATCCACTATATCAATAATTAAACAGTAGTTAAGAGAGTTTACAGTTCTTTCTTGAGAGCTAAGGAGAGTCCTAAGTTGGAAATTCTAAAAATTTCAACTCTTTGCTACAGTCTTTGTTAATATATGAACCATAATTGAATTTACTTTAAAAAATAAATCAAAAGTAATTTCATAACATCCACACCTTTGCAAATTAGTATATATATATATATATATATATATATATATAAATCACACTTAGCCATGCTCTTATTTTTTAAGAGGTTAAGCAATTGAAGCATATAGTATTTATCATTATTGTTAATTTATCCTTCTTTTATTACCCTATACAAGCATGTCCACACGTGAAATATCATATGAGCAACTAGATCTATTCTAACCTAACAGTAATTGGTTAGGCAATTGAAGCATCTGTAGTATTTATAGTTACTGTTAATTTAGCCCCCTTTTATTACCCTACACAAGCATGTCCACATGCAATATATTTGCTCCAATTGGTGAGTAGGACACAATGGAATGATTTTTGGTGGTTTTCATGAAAGTTGATATTTTAGGTTATAATTTAATTAATTTAAATGTGTATTTTTATCTTATGAAAATTGGTTATTTCAATTCTTCCTTCATTATTAGAATTTCATTTTAAAATTTTTCCTTTTTCATGCTTTTTCACATAAGTGAGGGAACCTCTATTGTATATCTGTCTATTTTTTTGATGTTGTCTCTTTAATTGATATGTGCTTCCATTTCACTTTTATGTAAGGAATTGTTCCACTTTCTATTCATGAATATCAAACTCTAATATCTTTTCAAGCTCCTCTATATATGTCAAGTTACTATGTAGCTCAATTTCATCCTGTGGAACTCTTAGATTTTTATCTATATCCCATTTTTTAGCATTGATACATAAAAAATATTACGTATGTCAAACATGTATATAGGTAATGCTAGTCTTTAAGCAACATTTTCCACTTTTTCAATAATCTCAAATGGGCCAATATATTTGGGATTCAGCTTTCTACCAAGGCCAAATCTAGAAATATGCTTCATTGGTCTAACATTTAAGAAAACAAATTTTCTCACTTCGAATTATATCATTTTATGCTTGGGGTCATAATACTTTTGTTATCTATCCTGAGCAATTATAAGCTGTCTTTAATTAATCTGACTTTTTAGCGGTTTAATTAACTAATTGTGGACCAAACAACTATATTTCTCCAATTTCAACCCAAATCAAAGGAGTTTTGCATTTTTTTACCATACAATGCCTCATATCGTGTCATCTTGATGCTAAACTAGCAGTTATTATTATAAGCAAACTCTATCAAAAGGATATAATCCTCTCAGCTACCTCCTAAAGCTAGAAACAATATTTTTTAATCTCAAAATTATTTGTAATGATTTTTCCTGCATTCTAAGACCCTTTAAGTTTTTTTAATATTCTATTTCATATTTTTATTATTTTCTTGAAATATTTATAAAATATGAATAATTTTTAGTTTTGTATGTACTCTAACCTATCCTAGAATTATGATATGAGAATTTTATAGAAAAATTACCACAAAATTTAATGAAATTAAAACCAAAGATTATTACGAATTTCAAGTTCAATCTATAAAAATTTAAGACAATTTAAAATTAAAATGAACTTTTATTTAATAAATCTTAGGTTTAACATCTTTAATTAATTATTAAATGTACTAAATAAAGTTATTTGAGTTTGAAAAAAAAATCCTTTAATCTACACGATTAAAGGAGGATTTAAGTTTAATTACAAGAGGTTAATATTTAATGAGTTTTACTCATGTATTTTTCAAGTTTATTTTCATTTTAATAGTATTATATTTGAAATAAATAATTAGGGTTTAAGTAGATCTCAAATACAACAACAACAACATCAATCCTTTATCCCACTACGTGGGGTCAGCTACA